GAGTTTATCATTTCACACACACACAAATATATATATATATATATATATATATATATATATATATATATATATATATATATATATATATATCTCTCTCTCTCTCTCTCTCTCTCCTCTCTCTCCCTCTCCTCTCTCTTCCTCTCTCTCTCTCTCTCTCTCTCTTCTCTCTCTCTCTCTCTCTCTCTCTCTATATATATAAAAGGTGATTTATAATTGCAAGCAGAGCTGCTGTAAGGTTTGAAATTTGCCGTCTTTTTAATAATTTAAGCATTAATCCTGGATCGATGCCAAGTCACCTGGAGTGTCATTCGGTCAACCAGGTTACAAATTACTTCCACAGACATGATAAACTGGGGTAAATACAACTTTTGAGTAGCATCCAGAGGATCTTCTGTTTTGGTGTTGCATATAGCATTTGGCCCTGCTTTCAGTAACAAACATTGATGTGAATAACATAGGGTGCAAAAAAAAACTTGTGAAATTACGTAAATTGAACTCCAGATCAAAGACGTGATTTTAAACGATGAGAAGGATTTCACGCTGGGGCTGCCACTGAAAGCTGACAACAGTCGTGTCTATGGGAGCGGCAGCCAGGGCAGGGCCCTGGCGAGCCGACCGCACCGCGAAAAAAATCGCGATTAACACTGACGCCTACTGAAAAGGAAAAGATGAAAGCCTGTTTTGGAGATCGGAAACGCGGGAATCCGCTCAGCTGCGTACATTCGCCTCCTGGAATAGAAGCTGCTGGCGGCTTGCGTGGAGGTCCTTTCACCAGGCTTCATTTTACAGCAGGACCCATGTCCCCTCCCAACGTAGCCGGACCAGACGGTTTCTCGCTGGGCGCTGCCACGTCATTAGAAAGGGCGAGCGGCCAGCAAACTCCCTTACCTGAAGCCTCTGAACCATTACGTATGGAAAGCGCCCTCGGAGGAAACACGCATCAGTCTCATCACCGGAGACTCTCCATCCTTGACGGACTGAAAGAGGCCACCATGACCGCATGGAAGTTCAGTATGATGCTGAAGTTCACGAAATTCATGGTGATGATGAAGCTCATGAAGTGCATAGTGATGATGAAGTGTATGAAGTTCATGACGATGATGAAGTTCATTAAAGTCATGGTGATGATGAATTTCATGAAGTTCATGGTTATAATGAAGTTCATGATCCCCGAAAGATGGACGAGCTGAAAGCAGCCATCATGACCGCATGGAAGTTCATGACGATAAAGTTTATAATCACCGGAAACTGCCCATCCTGGACAAACTGAAGGAGACCATCATGACCACATGGAGGCAGGTAACACCAGACAACAAGGAGCAGCATTCACCAGTGGATGCAAAGCCTGTATGCGGTAGTTCAAGCTGGTGGCTGCCCAAACGCTCACGTGTTTCAAAAAAAGACTGGCTACGCAGCATGTTTACGCGTCTTTGTCTCTGAGCTGATAACGCGATGACAAATCAGCTGACGTCACTGAAATTCAATGAATAGCACAGACACCTTGCGCTATTCCGCAATTTCCTTTAGGCCTAAGGTAAAAGCACAAATGCTGGGCAAAAGGTGGTGGGGCAAATTGGACATATATGCTCAGCTAAGGCTTTGATAAGCACCGTCGTTGCAGGCCTCGCTGTCTGGCTCAAACGCATCCTCTCTGCTAAACGATTCATTTCCTACTTGCTGGATGACCATGGGCGTAGGAACAGGGGGGGGGGGGGGGCAGGGGCCGTGGCCTCTCCCCACTTTTCAAAGTGGGTGACAGCAGTGTTATCTGCACCCTCCCCCCCCCCTCAAACACACACACTTTTCAGATTGAGGTTGTATTTGGCTTGTTTTGGCACCACATTAAGTATTTGTGCTGATCTACTTAGTTCACCAGCCATCTTCCTCAAGATGTGTTCTCTATTTCGTTTGCTCATTGACCATCGCATAGTATTACAGTCGCAAGGCCGACGCCGCACTGGAGACGGCAACGCCGGGCGTGGAGGCTGCTGTTGCTATGTGCTTGCGAGCGCGCGTGTTCAAGAATATATTGCGTAGTTTTCTTATCAGTAATCAGTTTCGACACGAACTTGGGCATTTAAAGCGAACATGTGTTAGCCATGTTAATACAAATTGAAAACCCGATTTCATTTACAATCTCGGTCAGGGAAAAACCCAATATCTCTGAAGAACACAGAAAAACACGGAATTGGAGTCTATGTGACAATTATTCGACTACCTGCGGTGATCAGGGATGTTGTTTGCAACAGTAAGGGTTCCTGAGCTGGTCCGGGGCTAACTGAGCGGATCAGAAGGCCTTCCGTGTCAGGGATGGGGACAATGTGATATGAAATATCCTTCTAGGGCCCCCGGATCGACCTAGAGGACCCGCCCCGTGTCACCAGAGTGATAGCCTGAAGACACCTCGCGATGGGACGGAACGGTCCTTCAGCCCTTGACCGGAAACGGTTAAGGGCTGAAGTTGTTCTCTGGTGTTCTACTCAAGAGCCGCTTGCCCGGAAGGAAATAAGGGGTCCCATTACTGTTGAGTAGGATTGGTGGTCTCATTATGTTGAAAAGGGTGGGTCGAAATGAGCTAAAACACAAAAGAGCGGGATCATGGCATGTTTGCCTGAGAGTGTTCATTTCTTAGAATGTGTTATAGAAACAAAGTCGTTCAACAACTGATTTCTACATGTTATTGACCTCAAAATACAAACAAAATTGAGCTCACGGTAGCTCTTGGTTTTTGTTCTGGTCACAACGTAAAAATAACAATAAGGCGAGGAACAACATGCCACTTGTCAACAAGTAAGCTGCATGCGGGGATTTTTGGGGGGAATCACTATAAGATGGGCTTTTGTCAACCTTGCGTTTCCCCTTGGCAAGGCTCTGGCTACGCCCCTGTCTACACACAAAGGCAAATGAAGTAGTGTACGTTGCATGATGGGCAATGAAGTGTCCGCCGGGCCAATTCATACCTAAGGCAGACAGCTTCCCGGAGGCTATTTTTCTGCGATGATGTGGTGTAAGGGAAGATAATTCGGAAACAGATGCTGCTGCAGGTGCCCAACACATGTTTCACACCATGTAGTAGTAACGCTGATCCAAAAGTATGCAACAAAGCAGCCATGCGATCAGTTCGCAGTCAGTCACGCGGGAGACATCCGGGCCAGGGCAGTGGCCACAGAGGGCGGGCAGGACTAGGTTCAGATAAGGAGCATACGGCAGATGGGCCTTACTATGTGGCCTGGTTCTTAAAAGAGAATCTCCAGTCTTGTGGAGTTCGTCGCATTGTTTCTGGTAGCTTCAAGCTCCCGAATTCGTCTTCGCCTAAAATGCTGCCACGAGTCTTATCTCTTGAAAAGCAGCCAGCGAAACGAAGGCACATGAAAAATCTGTCGCACTGTGAGCCATCGGTCCACTTAAAAAACTCTCACCAGCAGATATCCTGGCCGTATTTTGACATCTACACTGTGTAGGGAGATGCTCCCCGATGACCCAAAATGCCTACCCGCTCGTGGAATTTCGCCTCCCCAGGACAGGCAACGTTACAATGAACGAATAATCTTGGGAAGCTGAATGGCCTTATTTGCCAAATTATAAATCATTCGGATTGGCAATATTGTGCACAGCGAGAACAGCTCCAGATGCGTACATCTCCATATTGCTAAAGGACACCCTGAGCTTGCCCCCCCCCCCCACACACTTTTTGAAACATTCCTACGCCTGTGTGGACGACCCGCGAATATTGGACGACCCCGAAAATGTCTCCAACAGTGTACCGCATGTTCTTTCGCGTGTAGCAGATTAAAGTGGCAAGGGCGACGCCAACACGGCGCCGATAAATATCGTTCCAGCGATTATGCATGGCCCAGCCGGCGGGCCTGACGGCTCGACGGCCGTCATTCAAGACAGCGATGCGCATCCAGAGGTGCTGGCACCACAGGGCTCAGCTGTGAACGTCCGTGGCAACAGCAGCGGGCATAGACGAATCGAGCTGGAAAAAGACGACTCCGGTGTCTCTTCTTCCAGGGACCAATTGGTAGGGCTATTGCGAGGGATCTGATCACACTGCCCTCAGTTCACTTTCGTTCCGTGCCTGGACTAGTTAAAGTGCCTCCAATGCCGAATGAAGCTAGAAAAGAGATAATGAAGGACCAACAGCACCTATGCGAGTTGTTAAGGGCAGTCCAAGCAGAACCGTAAGATGTCACCCAACACTTGTTGACAGAGTCGTTGTTTCACAGAGTTGGGGAGGGGGGGGGGGGGGGGCTGAGCAGTGAAAATTGACGACATCTAATCCAAAGGTAGGCCACCAAACGGGATTTTCCACGGATTTGATCCACGTTCGTCACCAAGTTCAGGGGAAAGACTTAAGTTCAAGTCGGTCTGGCTGGAGCCCCCCCCCCCCTTCCCTCACCACTACAAAACAGGGAGCTGCACCCCTGCTTGTTCACCACAAACTTTGGGGCTCTCCATCCAGCCTATGCGGCAGCACTGTTAGACAGAAAGCTACTTTTGTATATGCCGACAGAGGCGCCAACGCCAGTGCTAGCACGTTTAGTCATATTTGTGCTGAAATAGGAAGGCCTGGAATGCTTGAGATAGAGTTCGTCCAAATATTAGCGACGAGGCGAAGAGCTTGTCTTTGATTCTTCTGCCTGTTCTTGAACATTTGGAAGTCCAAAGACGTCCAATGTTGTTGCGTTTGGTTAAAAAAAAACTGCATCTGTTCGGCCGGCTGTGGAACACCTCGGAGCCTTTGGGTCCTTGCGGGGCCAAAGGGGTGGGGCATGGCCCCGTGCTCCTCTGCATCCGCCTCTGCTTACATGTATCTTGCTCTTCCGCTCTTTGCGCCATTTTGGGGTGCAGGTAAGGAAACACCTATATGGTAGCATTCAAAGTCATAGACAGCTATGACGCATATTTGACGAGCTGCTCATTACGCCATAGCGTGACACCCACGTACAGGGTACATTCCCATGCTCCTGTCCGTTCGAGGGAGAGGGGAAGTCGCGGATTGGTAGCGGTCTTGCAGGGGCAGCTTTTGTAGAGTCGTGCGCGATAAACAAGTTAGCATCTGGTTCCACTCATTGAAGATCCTGATATGTCAGCCAGGAAAACCAAAACGTCCACTTCTGTGGATGACGATGTGTGCATTGTTTGTTTCAAGAATATTACTATTCGCTGCATTATGGACTGTGAACACACCATATGCTACGAATGCTCAACAAGACTGAGAGTTCTGTGTGAAAAGCTGGAATGTCCGATTTGTCGTCAGGAAACAACAATTGTAAGTATGGGGAATACCAGAGAGAATTCATTAGTGGTGTATGTAAGTTCAGTTACCTCTTGTATTCAATTGTGGCCTTTGCCCTGGCAAGGTCTGGGGGTTGTGGGGGTGTAGGTCAGGAAAGTGAGCTGCTCTATGGCACTTAAAGTAAACACTGGTGTCACAGTCATATGGCCAGTTTTCATGGCTGATGTGCATGTGCTGGGTCATGACTGAAATGTTGACATAAATCTACAAACCTACAACCTGCAACATGTGCATGTGAAGGTGATGGCCTACAATGTTTTAGCGATCTGTGCACTGCCCTGATTAGCATACAGTGTCTTTTTCCAAAAGGTGCACTGTCTTGACAATGCCATGCACAATGCCTTTTAACATGCACATGTGTGTGTTTGAGCAGGGCATCTCCACTCAGGAGGAATTTCCATAGCAAATTACTTCAGTAACCTTGTAAGATTAAATTTTTCCTGGCATTTAGTGCAGATATGACATAGCCCAATACAGCCTAACTTTATCTTTTCATTTGGGTCACACTTAACAGGGGAGGGGAGTGGGCTTGGTCCCATGATCAGTGAACTTGCCGGCAAATCCACAGTGAGGAATCAACAATAATATTGTACACTCCTTCTGAATGTTTTCACCAGTGGGATACTTTAATTAATAATTTTTGTTTAAGGCCAATATAATATATTATTGTCATCTTCTCATTTCTGTTTGCATGATATGGCTTAGAGTAGTTGTCTTTTATAGACAGTTCTTTTCTGATAGATGAAATATGTAATGTAAATTTTGATAAAGTCATGTCACACTTATGAATTATGTGTGCTTAAATGGCTATTATATGGGTCAAATAACATGGCACATCTTTTTAAACATAGTTCCTCTGCAATGATCCTCATTTCCATTTTAGGGCATATGAATGACTGCAGTAATTTTCTGCCCATCATCATCCCTTTTATTGCTACCTTTGGCATTGTGTCAGTAGTACAGACATCATTAGTGCTTCCATCTTCATTTAGATGTTAAAGTTGGATAATGGTCACACAAAGCTTCAACCCTTTTCATGAAGTACCTATATCAGGTATATGTCTTTTCTAGCTAATACAGCTTACTTTGTAACTTAGTCTGCTCTTGTTGGTGACTTTCACCATGTAAAGGAAGTAGTTTGTTTGTTAGGTGCCAGATTCATGTCCCAAAGTTTTATAAGACACATCTTTCATTAGCAAATTGCTGGTATTATGTCATTCCTGGAAGCCTTCATAGTTTTTGGTGAGCAGCATTGAACTGAAATATAAGTCAAATATCTGGCAACCCGGTGTGTTCAGTGGTTGTGTAGTTTACTCTCATATAAATGTGGGCACTGGAAGCTCATGGAATCTGGTTATTCAAATCTTGGGTGTATTGGATTAAGAACCACATGTTCACTTATCTAACCATGATGACAATTCCAATATTATTTTGATGCAATCTTGATCCTGCCAACATAATGGTAGGGGCCATGCATGAATGTAACATCCCAGAAAATGATAAAAATCATCAGTATGCATTCACAAGCTGATCAAGAATAATGTATTTTATCAGGCTCCTTGTGGCAATTATGTTTTGTAACGCCAAGGTCTGAGAACTGAACTACCAATTGTGTGCTTGTAACCTGTCTCACATAATGTGGGACTTAAACATTAAGCATGTGGTGATGCTTGGAAATAATGCCCTAAAAGCCACAATTTTTGTGGGAGTCCCCTGATTGTTTATGCAATGACCCCTTTGCTGATAAACATTGCTTGTGGAGGCATACTCTTTTATGTACTGTGCTGTCACCATGTGGTGGAGTTCAACTTTGGCCCTAAATACTGGGGAGTCTGGAATCTTCTCAATAAAATAATGGGGCCTTCTATTTAATACAAAGCATTACAGTTATGTATTGAGCACTATAATATACCAAATACCAGAACCTATTATTTCTTCCTAATTCTGCATATAAGTCAAACTGCATGAAACACATGATAAATTACTGTATTGATAGTAATGCATCAATGTTCTCAATAGTGCAGTAATCTGGCATATGACTATTACACTGGTAATTACATGCTTTCATCTTTTTATCATTGTGGTTGGTGTAAGGTTCTTATTTGATTACCTTTCTGAAGAGTTATACAGGATCCTACATTATAACATAGGTAGTAAGTGGGATACTGTCATGTATTTTGCATATGTTAAAGGCCAACTAGGCCAACAAGAACATGCTAAGATGAAACCAGTAAGCTTCATTGAGTTTTGGGCAAAATGTCCCAATAGCTGTGTTGATATGTAAGCTTGAAAAATTCACGAATTCATGAGCTGAGGGGTTCAGATTAGTGGGCTTCATGTGCAATTCAACACCCATATCCTTGTTTGCCATCAGGTTACTTCATGTTTGAAATGCCATGTTGTCTTATAGTTGTCTATTGTGCTTTAGAAGCAATGTTATGCAAAATACATGTATTGCATGTATGGTGATCTACACCATGCACCTAAGCCTCAGTTAAAGAAAACATGCATTGCAAATTTAGTGAAATAATTGAACAGTTATGCCACAAACTTGGTGGGATATGTGATATTCAAGTCAGAAGTGAGGCAAAACATGCTAATTTTATTGCATTTAGCAGTAACACTTTGATATAAAAGGTCATCCTGCATGTCTGCTGATCAGGTCATCAGGACATCCTGCATGTCTATTGATCAGGTCATGAGGTCACCCTGCATGTCTCTTTATCAGGTCATCAGGTCATCATGCATGTCTGACTATAAAGTCATCAGGTCATCCTGCATGTTTGAGTTTAATAGAAGAAAGGATTCAAACAACTAAACACACAACATTTAGCAGTACATAACACAGCACCCACACACATAAAAACCATGTCTTGATATATCAAAGCCTTAAATATTGCTCACTCCTATATGCTCACTCCTATAAGAAGAAGCCCAACCATGTCACATGACTGGAAAAGAAGTGATCTGTAGAACCGCTGGGCGCAACGGAAAAGCGCTGGCCGCGTCTTCGGTGCCCGGTGCCACACGTGAGATGCCTTGGCAGGTATCCTCTCAAACATTTCGGGAGCGAAGCGCGGAGTTCTCGTGGAGCTGAGAAGTAAAAACATTTTGTTCCCCCATGCTGCAAAGTTTGTGGAGAGAGTTCAGAGAGCGAAGTTTGTACTAAAGTTTTTGTCAGTATGCAAGAGCGCCGCGGGGATAAGATGGCGTATCTGTGAGAGGTTTGATGACGCAGCTGGGGTCGCGCCGGGGAGGATAACATGACATGTTTTTGACGATGGCGGAGATGCGGGACATGCTTATCGGAGTGCGCCCCGCGCTATTTGTCGTACATTGATGCGCTTGCACAGAATGAGGTTCTCACGCAGAATAAGACTCTCACGCGAAATTCGCCGCAGAATCCAAAGGGTATCCCGGCTGTGCCTTGATAGTATGTGTAGTAGCCAAGGGTAGTCATGGACATAGCATTGATCAGGTATGATTTCATTTTGTGCCAGTGGGGCCAGGTGCTTAAAGCTCGGGTCCATTGTGGCATTAAGTCAGGAAGGCGGTCTTCTCGCCATGGGCTTTACGTGAAACATCGTCAATATGTTGCTTCTTTTGTACCTCTGGGATGTGAAGGCGCGATATTGATGCACAGGTCGTAGTATGGTGTTGTTTCTGTATGCTCATACAGTGGGCAGTGTCCATTCAGACGTGCCTTTCGTTTGGTACACATGTCTGCTGCCACGTAGGGTTTGTAAGTTGGCACGTGAAAGATCTTTTAAAAGCTGCGTTTCATCTATTTTTTGTTTCCGCTTGCCATTTCATATGCACGTAGCGTACTTATGATATAACAGATGTTTCGGGTCAGTGTCATTCATATACGCATACGATTACAGGCTATTTACTGAACAATGCTCACCATCACCGGTATAATTTGCTTTACAGGTCCTCACCGCCTCGTCGAGGACGAAGCGGTGCTCCGAGCGCTGCCGGTATTTACTTTACATACCCTCCGGCAATGGTTGTTCGGGGCATGTGCCGTGACAAAGAGGCACCTGGTGCGGTGCAGAGTGTGTTTCATGACTCACGACGATAGCAGCCCTTGGCACGCGCATGTTGGCGCAAACGTCGCCGATCTTGACACCTCCTCGCCGCGCCCTCTCCCGCAGGCGGTGTTTTCGCGCGACAAAGGCTCGTTCCGGTCGCTCTTCATGCGCGCGCTGTACAACGAGGACAAGTACAAGCTGGCGCTGGAGGACGAGGCGGTGCGCCGAGCCTTCGCGGGCCTGCTGGCGCACAACTGCCCCGTCTGTCCGCAGCGGCGCGGCTTCGGCACGTTCAAGCAGCTGAGCGACCACGTGCTGCGCGAGCATCAGCTCATGTACTGCGACCTATGCGTGGGGCACCTGAAGGTGAGGGTGCGGACGGGCGCGGGCCCGGCTCCCCACACTGCGGCGAGCGGCGGTGGGACCACCTGCCCTCATTGCCTTCTCCCTGGTGTTAGTGGAGACGTGGTGGGTCGAGGAATGAGCGTCGAAGGCGAGCACTTCGATGGTTTTTAGGCATGCCTGCCTGTATCACGTGTGTCAGGTTGGCTAGTTGGTCAAGGGATGGTAAGCATTTGCCACTACGATAGGTCACGCTTTCTACTTTTCTGGCATTCAATGAGCCACTTCTACAGTACGTCTTCCTCACATGCTAGGGGCACACGAAGCCGCGCGGGTGGCTCGTTCTCCCCCTGAGCTAGGTCCCAAGACGGATGCGCGATGGTCGTGCACGCGGGTTTGGACATTCCGCGGCTGAACTGTGACGCGCCAAATCCCTCCGGTCCAGCAAAGGGTTCTCTGCATATGCTGGCTCCACCTTAGAATATTCCGTTTTTTGTCGAAGGGCGGTGGCGGTGGTGGTGGTGGAAGGAGGTGCTGCCGAATGATAGCTGACGGGAATATGGATGGCGCGGGGTTGGACGGGCAGAGCGTGTCCTGCACCCTCCCCCTCCCGCCCTCCCAGGGGACCAGCTGCCTGTACTGATGAATTGGTACATAGTTTACGCATACACTCGCGCGTAAGCACTGGCGCCGCCCGGAGCAGGGCGGAATGCCTCGCCGTTAAAGGGCATGCAGTATCGGTGCCGGCGTACATAAATGCTACGCAGAAATCATGACGTGTTGTGATCCGGTGTGTGCAGTTTGTTGTGATCTGGTGTGGGCAGTTTGTAGACTGTACACACCAGGCGAAGACGATAGTCCAAACAATTTTTTCATCCGTATTACTGATGCCTCGTCTTAACCTTCCCCTAAAGCTGCAGTTGGTCCCATTTTTTCTGGCAGCGCGGACATCCGTGATCGATCATGTGTGTCGTGCCTGCCCGATCCGTGACGTCGCTTTTCTGCCCGTGACGTCACCGGTGCGCTCCCACGTCACGCGGCCGCCGCTGTCGGCAGATCTTCACATCGGAGCGGAAGCTGTACAACCGGGAGCGTCTGGCGCTACATCGGCGCAAGGGCGACCCGGACAACTCCTCCCACCGCGGCCACCCGCTCTGCAAGTACTGCGAAAAACGGTACGTGGGGCGGTCAGAAGCCGTGTAGTCCGTGCTGGGGTTCTTTTGACGGGGCCTGCGAGCTCCGCAGCGCCATGGCCGCATTTATGCTCCTAACTCGCATTGGATGTGTTGTGCCTCTTCGCATCTCCGTGCAGGGATTACGCGGACGGTGCACCGTACATCTTGCGTTAAGTCAAGAGCTCAGTTCAAGTGAGTTCAGGATCGTTCAGTGAGTCGTGGGGTTGGCAAGAGATGCTCTTGTAGTCGCTCGGTGGTCTGTGGCGACCGAAACGAAACAGCTTCGCGGCGCGCAGCCGGCTACGCGGATGCCCGTCCGCTCGCTACGGCGACGCACGCGGCATTGTGCTACTGACAGCTCGAGTGCTTGCTCTGCCGTACCGCGATGTCCGGTGTGCTACACTGCCGGCGAGGCATGGGATAAGGTGGCCGAGTGGTCTGAGGCGCCGTGCCCCCAATGACGACGTCTGCGGTTCAATTCCTGCCGCAGGCGGTTCCATGGCGACGAAGCGGCGTGAGGTGCCGCTCAGGCGTTGTGCTCGCCAATGAAGGGCTCAGTAATGACTTGCTTGTTTCGCGCTTGCGATCCGGTTATGGATGCGAACTGAATGTGCCCTGGGAGGAAAGCCTTGCGATCGTTAACGACGTCGTCGCCAGGTACGTGGACAACGACGAGCTGTTCCTGCACCTTCGGCGGGACCACTTCTACTGCCATCTGTGCGAGGCTGACGGCGAGCAGATCTTCTACGAGTGAGTGGCGCTCCTGAGGGGCACGTCTGGCCACTGCTGGGCGCACTCGTGGGACGGCCCGGGGTTACCGCTCACCTCTGGGAGGTCAGAGTGGACAGGCGATGTTGAGGGGCACGTCTGGCCACTGCTGGGCGCACTCGTGGGACGGCCCGGGGTTACCGCTCACCTCTGGGAGGTCAGAGTGGACAGGTGATGTGGCGGGTCATGTCACGGCAGGTCACCACCGGACGGGACGGGGTACGACGGACGGTGACACACTAAGTCCGCTCGGGAGGGGGGAGGGGGCTGTGTTGCGTGCCGTGTTTGACCCCGAGAGGTCTCGTATGGGATTTCGGGACGCCCGTTTGGAATCACCGTTGGGATTCCCGTTTCCAGATCTGGTCGAGCGCCCCGGTTGGCTGCAGGATGTGCCGCGCTAATGATCATTAGAGCGAGGCCCTGGGCTGAGTGGGTGTTATTGAGCACTGTTACGGTCCTCAACTCGTTTGACTCTTTCTGCTCGGCTCATCCCAGCCCGGCTCTGCCGAACGGTGTGCGGATCGCTCAATTATTTGCAGCTGGAGCCTCCCCGACGTCGCGCAGCTGGTCGTGCGCCTCCGCTGGCTCTGATTGCGGAGATCCGGCACCGGTTGTTAAGGATGTCCCAAGAAACGGGTGAATTCGTGCTTTGCGAGCGGTCGCTCGTGATGCTCAGCACGCGCCGGTCTGAATTTCGGCCCGCGCGTTTGGCTTTTGTTTCATTCATCAAAAGTATTTGGCTTTAAGGGCCGCCACTACGCCTGGTTGGCGACATCGGAACTTACTTCTTGCCCATGTTCTTCGGTTTGATGTTTACAATTAGAAAGCATAACGTTTCCCACGCTGACGGAATAGGGACACGAGATAGTGGTGATATTGTGGAAGTAGAGAGAAGCATGTCGCCGGAACAAATGGCTTGCATTTGAGTGCTTGAAAGTACGAATATCACAGCACAGCGTGTAATAAAATGCGCTGTGTGTTGCTGAAAACTTCATCGCGGCACGATCAGCCGTTACGGACTGAAGCTCATCAAAAGCGTGACCGGCCAGGTCAGGCCGCTAAAACTCCACGAATTTCGGCTAGCTGGTGTTAAGACTCGCCGCCGTAGCAACTCAGGTGCTGTGGTATATCAGTAAGCTCGTGGAGTCCCCTGGAGAGGAGAGACGCATGCTTGGTATTAACGTATTATTGGTGGCTCGGAATCCACGTGCCCACTCCTGCTCCGCCTACGGTCGCGGGGTTCTTGTACACTTTCAGGAAGCCGCCGACGGGTAGTCCACCAAGCTCCACTGTGCGACGCAGACAGGAATGTGTAGCGACGTTAGAACTGCCCCGCCACCCCCGCCAATGCCATTCCCCGGGTGATTCACGGACAGTGCTCCAAAGAATGGAAGGCATTTGCCGAGTCGGCCTGGAAACAAATAAGCGCCAGTTCGCCGAGTGGTTACTGTCGTGTCGAGAGCGGGGGGACGGGGGTTCGATCCCCACCTGGTGAAACTTTTGCGAGCTGCGCTTTCCATCAGTATTCGTGACGCTGGTAACTCGATCAGCTGCACGTGCAGTAGATGACCGAGCAACTGTGACAGTGACGGCTACTGCTACCAAATGCTGCCAAATGTACAGCCACCAAATGTCCGCGCAAGAGGTCACATCACAGGTCACATCAGCTATTGCATTGCACTGACATCATTTTCTGACGTCACATTACCCTCTCGCAGCGACTACAGCCACCTGGCGGATCACTTTCGCGAAGAGCACTTCCTCTGCGAGCAGGGCGAGTGTCTGGAGAAGAAGTTCATCGTCTTCAGGACCAATATCGACCTGCAAGGTGAGTGCGGCTGGCCGGCACTCGCTGTGTCGCCGTCGTCACGGCCCGAACCCGACTGGCGCCACTGTCGACGGACGGTGATGCTGGCGTGTGCTTGCTGTTGCCTGTGGTTGTCAATAGGGCGACAGCGGCCCTTCGATGATAGTCCAAAGTACATTTGCTGCGGTGACGTAATGTGTGCTGCGGCAATGAAGAGAAATGCGAAGATTTGGTTGCATTTTTGCCTGAACGTTTTTTTGTGGGTTTTTCAAATTTTGGCCTCCGTGTATCACCCCAGTCTTCGTGTTTGAGTCTACCCTTTGTGTTGAACCCAATGTAGTTGTATGAACTCATTCTTTGCGTTTGATCCCGTTAGTTGTGTCTGCCGCGGTGAAGCACGCTACCTTGCGTGTCTGCTCTGATGTCTGCGTCTGATCCACTCTGTGTATAAGCCACTTTCCGTATCCTATATGTAGCCGATGCAAGGTCTTTCGAGCCATCTGTCATTGCCTGACGCCTCTTTGTGCACCGGATCTGCTGTCCGTGCGTGAACGGTTCCCTGTATGTACCGCGCTCGCAGCTTCGGACGCCACCGGCTGTGTCCGACCCCCTTCTGCCGGCACCCTCGGACACGTCGTCCATACCCGACACGGTGCTCAGTGTCTGAACTCGCCGTCTTTGTCTGGCCCCACTGCCTCTGTGTTGCGGACCCTGTATCTGACCCCCTTCTGCCCCTTCTGCGTGCACCCTCGGACACGCCGTCCATACCCGACACCGTGCTCAGTGTCTGAGCCCGCCGTCCTTGTCTGGCCCCACTGCCTCTGTGTTGCGGACCCTGCGTCTGACCCGCTCCGGCCGGCCGTCCGCCGCCAGCGCACCGCGCCACGGCCCACTCGGACAACAAGAGCCGCGCGCAGCAGCGCCAGGATCGGGTGCTGACGCTGGAGTTCAGCGCCGAGCAGGGCGGCCGCCGCCGGCGCAACGACCGCTACGGCGACGCGCGCAACGACAGGTGCGACCGCTGCTGCGGCAGCAGCGCAGCGGCAGCGGGTGATGTGATGTGATTTACAGGGAGATGGGACATGTGTGACCTGCGTAACAGCGCTTGGGAGGATAGGGACGGTTCGTGCGGCTGGGTCGGCGACGGTGGGGCGGCTGAGGATGTCACGTTGACAGAAAGACGACAGGTAAAATTACTTTGGCGATTGGCAGACGGGTACGGATGCTGGTGCAGCCGATGGGACTGGCGGCAGGGGCGGTTGTGTGGAGAGGGGCGTTGGGGCTGAGAAGTCCGGCGTGCTCAACGACAGACGCGACAGCGACAGCGGCGGCAGGGTTATGTGATGCTCGCCTCGTGCCGAGCTGTGAGGACTTGATCCCTCCGCTGACCTGACCCGAACTGACCCCACCTCACGACCTCGACCCGCGCCGCCGGCAGGAGGGAGCAAGGCGCCAGGGCCCACTCGCCGCCGCCGCCTCCTCCGCCTCTACCGCCGCAGCAGGCGCCGCCGATGAACACAAGCAGCACGCAGGAGTTCCCGACTCTGGGCACGGGCGCGGCGGAAGGCGCTGAGATCAGCGGCAGGTCAGTGGCGGCGGCTCACGCGGTCACCCGACACGTAGGCAGACGCTCAGCGACAGGTCAAAGGTGACGGCCCACGCGGTCACCCGACACGTGGGCAGACGCTCACGTGGCAGAGGTGCCGGCCCGCGCGGTCACCCGACACGTGGGCAGACGCTCACGTGGCAGAGTTGCCGGCGGTGTCGCGGAGCCGGCCGCCAGACAGTAGCTCACGGGAGAGGCGACTGGCAGGGGCACAGCAGGGGTCGCGTGGTAGATCTCACAGGGCACGTAGTTGATGTTGCTCATTCGGCTGTTCGCAGAGCTGGGATGTGGTGCGGGTCAGACGTTCCAGACTTATAAAGCAACGTTTTCAGACAGGTCAGACATTTGTTACGTGACGTTTTTGGACACATTGTCGCGCCAGTGGTATCAGCCGAGAGACGCCCGGTGACGGGAGCCTCAGTGCAGCGAGTGGCTGGCGCTGTGACTCCTCCTGCGCCTGACGTCGCCGTCGTACCCGCAGGGGCGGCAGGCTTGGCACAGCGCGTGGCGAGCGCGGCCGGCCTCACGGTCAGGTCGGGCCCGGCGCGCGCGCGCGGCCGGCCCTGGGACAACCGACCCGTCACCGTCAGCGAGGAGGAGTTCCCGAGCCTGGGCGGCCGGCCGGCGCCGGCGGCCGCCGCGCCGCCGCCGCCCCCGGCGCCGGCTCCCTCACTCAGCTTGAGCGTGCAGCGGCGCGCGCCGCGCTCCACCAACGTCACGATCGACTTCAAGCGGCGGCCGGCGTCGGCGGGGCCGGCGGCCGCCGCTGCCGCCGCCGCCGCCGCCGCCGCCGACGCAGAGGCGGAGGCGGGCGGTGCCCAACCGCGCATCTCTCAGGTACGTGCCGGTGCGGCGGCCGGGGAGGGTTTTCGGCGGGGGAATGGGGGTCTGGGGGCGAGAGGCTCCGGGCTGGACAGCCGCGGCGGTGTTATTGAATGCGCGAAAAGTAGCGAGCCGTAAAGTGGCGACGCTGACAACGCGCGGTTTTGGTGTGCTTCGTTGGGTTGTGCGTTCGGAATTGGTGGCGTTACATATACAGATGCGCTTTCGTCAAGAGTCCGAAGCCGCGATGCTTGTCCACCTAGCACGTCGTGACCAGATGAATGTAAGGGAAAGACCTGGAAGACCTGGGTATCATCGCCGCTAAAGAAGCTGCACACACGTTGGATGTGAACACAAAACACTTCATTGGCGCCGGGAAAGTCACGGGTCACGGGCCACTGATCACGGTTCACAGAGTCACAAGTAGGGGCTACGGTTTCAACGGGTCAGCGGGTCCCTGGCCGGCGGGTCACAGGTTGGCGGGTCACGGGTGGACGGGTCAGACGGGTGCCGGCGTGCTGGCCGGGGACGCTCAGCGACCTCCGGGCCGCAGCGGGTACTCAGTTCTCTGGCGGCAGCACGCGACGCGTTCAGCATGATGTCCCGCCTTGGTTCGCACTGCGTCCCACCGGTTGTGTTTCCTGCGACTTGGCTCTCAATTTTTGCATATTGAACGGCGAAGGCCGGGACATGCAGCCTGCATGGGTCTACTGGCGACTACCTTAAACATGTCCGGTCTAATGCGGACAAACCAAAACCTGAAACTGCAACGCCCATCATATCAACATTTGTGGTGCAGCTTGCGTGTGCCTTCGGAACGTTGCAGGGACGATTGTTCACGTTTGCGACGTCCGATAGATGCCACCTGAAACTCAACAAGCCCTTGATGATCGCCGCTTCCCAGACGTTACTTCGGAAAAGAGCTGTGTTTGGCTGGGTTGGCTCTAACTTCAAGGGAAGTCTGGGAAACTGGACCGGTAGACGTCGGGTGCCTGTAGGAGAGAGACGTGGACTAGGCCGGTATCGGACCTCTCACCACGATCAGGGCCGACGGCCTGAACCACGCTGGAAGACACTTTGTGGGAAGCTGCACGGTGGCCTGTGCTGATAGCGTCCCTCCCCTTCCTCCTCCTCCCCCCCCCCCCCGCCGAGTGGAGGCCGTTGCATCCGTCCGAACCGGGCCGTAAAAGTCAGGCGCTGGTCCATTGAGCGTCATGTCGTGGTTGCTGCGGGCTGCTGCGCGTCTGCTTGTACTTAGGGCGCTGCCGAATTCGACCAATTTGCGGCTGGGCCAGGCGGCGGTGTATTGTGGTGTCGTATTCCATTTGCGGCGTTCCAAGGCTACGAATAGGTGTGATGTCGCTTGTGTATTATTATATGCGGCATTACACCGAATAGACGCGTGATATTGCTCCTCTGATGTATTTTGGGTGGGATATTATTTATTTATGTCGATATTATTTTGAGTATCTTATCCGGGGAATAAAGCTATTACTTACTGTGCTATGCCTTTCCGGCTTAATGCTGAAACTCGGATGGCAGGCAACCAAAGACCCCTCCCATCGTCCAGCTGCGCATGACACGGCGTCGGGAAGTCCAACGCCACATGTGCACGCCCGCCGTGTTTCTGGCTTTCATTCATCTGCCGTTGCCAGGTGCGACCATGCTTCATTGTTACTGCGTCGTCCTCATTTCCGGCGCTCTGCCACATAATTGAGCGTTCGTGAACGCGTGAGTGATGGGTGAGTGGGAGAGCACTGTGAGTGAGTCGAGGCGTTGGATGTAGTCATATAGCCCTGGCTGCGGCGCCCCTCAGCGCGAGCAGCGATTGGCCGGTGGGGACCGCAAGCGGCTGATCGCTCCGCCCCCGTGTGAAGCAGCCCACGTGCAGTCATTGTTCACTATTGAGCGGCCACCTTTTTGGTGTGTGACGGTTTTGATTGACACTGCTACAGGCAACGTCGGCGTCAGGGCGTGGTTATTTTGGGGTATACGAATGAGTTGGGGTGCTGCTCGCCGGTATCTTTAACGCCCAGGTGTGAGCTGGTGTCTTCGTGGAGTGATGGAAACGGGCCGCTAAAAGTAGAAGTAAAAAGTGACAAAAACTCGCGTGGATGGTGACAAAAATGTTCTCCAAACTTGGATATGTTTTACTGCTTTCTTCACTTCGGGCAGATACTAATGTGTCGTATGCAGCGAACTGTCGCATGCAACGAACTTTCGCATGCAACGAACTCGCCATGTCGCACCTGTTTTTCTCTCAGAACGACGCGGGTGTTATCGCGAAGCACGAACTTCACTGTTCACCATCGGCGTGGGAGACCAATATCGGACAAGCTTCGGACACGCATCATTCGACTGGCTATTCGGCTGCTTTTCGGAGCGTTAATCACAGGCTTGTTCACAATCCGAAAAAGTCCCATTACTCGCGCACGTCACTGTATTCGGCGACGAAAGAGAGAATGTGGCCGTAGTTGCCCTTTGTTTTCTTTCAGTTAACAACCCGAGCCCCCGTGCGGTTGCGACACAGGCGTAGTCACCCGCACCTCAGGACTCGGGCTGTCAACCGGCTGGTTGCGGCAGAGTGGCTGGGACTAGCACTTCTACGTTGGTCGTGGCTGTCCGGTTTGAAACTTCGGGGCCGGCGCATCGAGCTGATGACGGCCCGGACTGACAGACAGGGAAGCGTGTCCAGAGAGGGACGGATCACGAAGAGCAAAGAACACTGCGCTGTCAGGTTGCACAAAAGTATGTTAGCGATATGGCTCAGTTCGACTACCACACTTGACATCAGCAAACATCTGCCTAGTTCCGGCAGTCGATATGCCAATAGCGGCCAAGCAGTGGTCATACTGTCAACCGTTCTGTGGTAGGCATATCACTAATATCATTACCTAATATTAACAGAGCAGCGAAGCCGTGGGGACGCCCCACAGTTCTCACCCGACGCACAATGCCACACACACAACAGCACTCGTTGGCGCCATCTGTTGGTGACCCACACGACCAAGTGTTGACCTCGTGCCGCTACACTGTCATCTGTAAGGAATTGACTCGGAAATGACTTGTCTGTTATCTCTTGGTCTGTTATTTGTCCAGTGGGCTCTAGAGGGTCATTGTCAACTAGAAAACATTTTGTCGCGTGTCGTTACCTCTACGGCTACTAATGATATTGGCTTCGCCATAGCTTGTTATTTTAACAAGATACCGGCTTGCCAGTGAAGTGGTACTGTACCCGGCAATGAGCTGACCAAGCAACCAACAAACGCTGTCGTCTGCCCCGTTCCCGCAGGGGCAAACCGGCTTCGGTCGGTGTAGGGGACTAGCGCCCCCTCGGGTCCCAGCTCCGGAACGGGTGGACAGCGCAAGCTGTTCCTCCTCAGGGCGTAGCGACCCTGCCGGTACGTGAGCCCCTTCTCCTTGCCCCCGCTCGCTCCCTCCCCATTACCCCATTTCCCGCATCCGGCCCACTCATCACTCCTGATCCTCGTTTTATCGGGTCGCCGTGCCCCCTCGCCCTCGTCCCCGGGTGATCGGATCCTGGTGGCTGAGGGCGCGTCGTGCGGGTCAGTCACGGCGCGTCCCAACACTCCACTTTGGCCAGGATATCCGGGGGCGCGGGGGCCCGTGGGGCCCCACACGGGTCTAGCGGCTTGTCGCTCGCATCGCGGTTGGGTGCTCCTTGCGGGTTCCGCTTGGGGCGCCTGGCCGCGCTGCAGCGGCTTAAGGGGTCAAGGGGCGGCGGCGCTGAACCACGGTCAGGACGGGAGGGGTCTCCCCGGTTACACCTGGCCGTGTGGGAGGCGTCGTCCGCCCCGTATAGCACCGAGGTAGCTCTGGCGGCACCACCACCAGGTGAGTGGGCCGTCCCCCAGTTGGGCTCCGAGGTGGGTGGGGAGCCCCGGTGCCGAAATAAAGAACAACCTTACATGGCATCTACAAACCCAAAAAACTCCCGCCCCCCGAGAGGGGGACGGACTGCGATGAATTTAGGGTGCAGCGAGGAGTCGGTTCCACCTGCCCACGCGTTCTTGTCTTCCGGAGTGATGTGAAGAACCTGGCATCGCTTTCACCGTTTCAGCGCCGAAACGGATGCGACAGGTTGGGAAAAGTCACCCGCTGTGACAAGCTGAGGGACGGCGCGATCGAAGTGGAGT